GAGTAAGAAACACTTTGTCTAATTCCAAGTTCAAGTTGGTTCCAAAGTCGGTTAGTAGACGGAAAAAATGATAAATTTGTTAGTTGTAGTCGGAAATTTAATAAAGAGTAATTTTGTGCATTACGGAGGTTATATTGAGATTATTCTGATACTAAAGGGGGCAATAGATAGGACAGATAATTAGGAGTGAGATTGTTACTTATTTTGTAGAAAAGCTGTAGTATTCTCCTAGAGCGTCTTTCTGATAGCGGTTCTAGACCACTATAGAGTATAGAGTGAATTTCTACTGGTATACGATGGTAAACCAGTGATAATTCTAGCAGATTCTAACTGAAGTTTTTCTAGTTCGTCCGCAGCACTGAGAGAGCACCCATCCCAAACTTCACAACAGTATTCTTGTAATTGAAGTATATAAACTTTATAGATTTTGACTAAAGTTTGTCGATCTAACATGTATTTAAGTTTACGAAGGATACTTACCTGTTTGGATGCATCTTTACAAATATTTTCTATGTGTCTTCCACATTTACAATTTTCATCTATATAACGAAACAACGTTCTTGTGTCTTTTTAAAAGTTATTGGTGTATTTTATTGTGATGTAGTTCTAGGGACTGAACCTCACGGTCCAGCCCCTCCTGGGTGACTGTTGAGTAGACAATCCCAAGTATCGACTGCCCAAGTATCGACCGAGAGTGACCAAGCTCTCTGCTGTATTTATACCACGGTCCTATATTATTCAACATCTTAACAGATAAAGACAAGTGACCAGACGAATTACTTAATGGTATTAAACTCTACATGACCGGTATTAAACTCTACATGTCCAACATGCATATCTATCATGTATTGAATATATAAACACAGGTGTTGACGTTTGAGATATAAGGGTATTTTGACCACAGGGTATATGTAACAATATGATGTAATATTTAAAGGTCCATGCAATACTCAAAGGTCAGCTGAACCCTATAATAGTTTAAAGGTCAGTTCAAGATTAATTCTTATAATGGTTCATCTAAAGTTATCCCCAGATGTTTATGATGGTCTACAAAGTCGACACTCACATTATTAAATTTAATATCTATGACACGATCGTGCTCAATATTTGAAATAAATAAAGCTTCCGTTTTTAAGGGATTACATTTAACAAGCCACTTTTCTGCCCAGTTTTGAATTTTAACTAGGTCGTTAATAATTTTAGTTTCGATGGCCAAAATGGAAGTACCAGAACAAAATATTGAAGTATCGTCGGCAAACAGTTTAGAGAGATTTTCAAGATTAACAGCTGTATCATTAAAGCACCAATATAGTAACATTCAACAAAAATTTAGTGAAGAATCAGACATAGTTATTTAGATAATCTTTAACATGTAGTAAAAATTAAGTTATTCAAACAAGAGTTACCATGACTTTGTGCATAAAGTATTGATATATGAGCAGTTGAAACTCGTTATTTGTAAACACACCTCCATTTTAAACACTCCGCCATCGAAATTACGATTGTTGCCGAACCACGTCGGAAAGTTCATGACCTGATCTCGCGAGAGTTGAGGTTTCTACTTATAGAGGAAGCACATGCAGATATGTCTACGGTAAGTTTTTGTTTACAAACATTGTTTACGAAGTCTTGTCGTAGACTTGAGGTATTTCTGCGATAAACATTCAGTTTTTGGGAAATAATTAGAAGGAATAATTAGTTTAGAAACGATACGACGCACAATTATAATGTAAGAATTCAGAACTGGCCTGATGTATGATTGGAAAAAAAGGAAGCGACTGGTGAACATCTGTACTGTGTCTGCCATGTTTACACACGCGGAATATGCACATGCGCAATGTCATCGCTACGAGAGGTAATATATGAATTATTGTGGGTCCCACATTGTTTATTTTCCGATTTTTTCAATTTTTATTTAAATTGAAAACAGTCAGTTCTATTTTCTTGAATTAAAGGAAAGTATTTGTTTTGTTACATATATTACGGGGAAAATAAGATAAAGTTTGTTTTTTTATAGTGATTTTTACGTATATTGGGGCTTTAATATATAAAATAAAAAAGGGGGCCTAATAACGAACCCTGTGGAACACCTGCATTTGTAGATTTACTATTTCCTACATAGACTTGCTGTTTTCTATTACTGACATAATTGTTCAACCAAACTAGAAGGTTCCACTTATACCATAAGTAGCTAGTTTTACATGCAGTCCCTTGAGCCACACCCTATCGAACGCTTTAGAAATATCACAAAAAACTAAACACGTTGACTCCCTATTTTCAATATTTTCACATAATGTATGATAAATTTCAATAATTTGATGAACAGTAGAATTATCAGGCTGGAAACCTGAATGGTAATTAAAAATCAAAGAATTATGGAGTAAATAACTATTAAAATATTTTACAACCAAACGTTCAAAAACTTTGCCAAAAGTACTAAGTAGAGGTATTGGTCTATAGTAAGAAGATTCATTTTTATTCCCCTTTTTTTAATAAATGCATAATAAAAGCTTATTTCCACTTCGACGGGAAGATACCAGTTTCCAAGGAAGCTCTAAGAATTAGCGACAATAGATAAGCTATGGACTCTGTAGTATATCTAAGCTCAATGTGACTTATTGTATCGCTGCCAGCAGCTTTATTAGAATGTCAAGATTTAAGAATGTCAGTAATGTCGTCTAATTGAAATGGTATATCTGATATAGTAGCGTCAGTTCGTAATTCTATATCTGGTAGGTCAATGTCAGTATCGTCAAGCGAGAGAGGTCAAAGACGACAAACGTCATTAGCATTATTAGGAGCTAAGACAGAGAGGTCAAAGTCGACAAACGTCATAAGCATTATTAGGAGCTAAGACAGAGAGGTCAAAGTCAACAAACGTCATAAGCATTATTAGGAATAAGCTAGACAGGTCAAAGTCGACAAACGTATTTAGCATTATTAGGAGCTAAGACAGAGAGGTCAAATTCAACAAACGTCATAAGCATTATTAGGAGCTAAGCCAGACAGTCAACAAAAGTCATTAGCATTATCAGGACCTAAGCCAGACAGTCAACAAATGTCATTAGCATTGTTAGGAGCTAAGACAGAGAGGTCAAAGTCGACAAACATCATTAGCATTATTAGGAGCTAAGACAGAGAGATCAAAGTCGACAAACGTCATAAGCATTATCAGGACCTAAGCCAGACAGTCAACAAAAGTCATTAGCATTGTCAGGAGCTAAGACAGAGAGGTCAAAGTCGACAAACATCATTAGCATTATTAGGAGCTAAGACAGAGAGGTCAAAGTCGACAAACGTCATTAGCATTATTAGGAGCTAAGCTAAACAGGTCAAAGTCGGCAAACGTCATTAGCATTATTAGGAGCTAAGACAGAGAGGTCAAAGTCGACAAACGTCATTAGCATTATCAGGAGCTAAGACAGAGAGGTCAAAGTCGACAAACGTCATTAGCATTATTAGGAGCTAAGACAGAGGGGTCAAAGTCGACAAACGTCATTAGCATTATCAGGAGCTAAGCCAGACAGTCAACAAACGTCATTAGCATTATTAGGAGCTAAGCCAGACAGGTCAAAGTCAAAAATGTTTAGTGCAGCGACTTTACATTGCGTGTCAAACATCGTCCGCACAATTATTGTAGTATGATATCAAAATATACACATGCATTTAACGTTATTAAAAATTATCAGGTATATGAAAATTTATGAATTATTGGGCTGAAGCATTTCCCCATCTAGATCTGGACTTCTCTTTCGGTAAAGTTGGAAATATTAACATACAAATGTATTTTTTAAAAATTGTAGTATTCTACAGACAACGTTATGTTTGCATAAACTTATTATTTTTTTGTGAAATGTAAGTTTGAAAAATATCATTGCGAATCTCCAGTCATTTCTCTCCAATCACTCTGTTGGTACTCTGTTATATATTCCTTGTTGATGTTTGATATCATTCTACTGAAACTACCATCAATTGATTAAGCCATGTAAATAACAACTGTGTAATTGAACAAAACTATTTCTACCACAATATGTTAAGTTGTTACACGTTCAAACCATTGTGTAGACGTACTGACGATTGGTGAGATATATGGTATGTCATAGAAACTCGAAAGGCGCGTCTTATTTTCGAGACGCAAGGTCTTATTATCCATGTACTTTGCAGGCGTCTCGGTATTTTGCCCTAGTTTTATTGAATTATAACTATGTTGACATGTTGGTTTTATTTTGTTCTTTCATCAAATGCGTGTTTATGTAAGAAATAAAGGTTTATTTTCATGATAGGCTTATTTTTGTGGGTTTCGTGTTTAGATTGGTTGAGAAGTTGAACTTTAAGCGAAAGGGCGTTTCATGCATTCGCGGAAATCAAAACACCCCAATAAGTTGTTCATGCTTATTTTTGTACTATTTTGATTTTTTATGGATTTCTATCAATTTATCGTTTTGAAGATAACTAAGTGATTTATTACATGAAATGGTGTGTAATAAATTGATATTCCCACTTATTTTGCATATTAATAAACAAACTGATTAAAGGTCAAATAATTACGCCCAAACAGACATAGTAACCATTACGCACGTTGAAAGATACCAAGTCAATTTATCCTTGAAATAGCTTTTTTGTTGTGGTAGAAACAGGTCACTCGTTGTTATAATATTTCTTTCAATCTCTTCAGTTATTTTTCAAAACTTCCAAAAAACACTCTCTAAGGCTAACATAACATATAAAATGCAAAATACACAACACGTCCATATAGCATATATGATACAAAATACTAACACGTCAATCCAATTAATGTCACGTTCTGTAATGAGAACAATGTACAACATAGGAACCAAGTATACATGACATACATTCTTACACCAGATATGTAAAAATCCAATCGCCAATTAATTAGTTTATTTATTTGGTTTATTGCGCTTGTTTATGAAATGAACGTCGTGGAATTGATATTTCTCAATTAATATCACGGGTCAGCTACCAATGGTTAAGTCTTCAAACTACCAGCCCCTGGTTGGCCGCCAAACCCCGACGATTTTCTCTCCGGAATGTATGTAGTAGTTTTTATAGAGAGCTGCAGTAGCACACGACTGTAACAATGAAATAGGCTGACGTTTTAGAAAATGCATTAGTTCAAATAAACATCACAGAAAAGTCTGATGATTAAACTGACGTCTAGGAATCAATCTTAAAGTCAAGACGACATCAAATAAAAAACTGACTTTAAAGAAAAAAAACTTGAAATTCAAAAGGCGTAATGAAGATACTGTTTAAATAAAAAACAAAGAAAACAACAATATATCAATATTCAATTCGATTAAGTCATATTCAAATTCGATGAAACAAGGTCAAAATAGTAGCAAAACAAAGATTTAACCGGAGATTCCTAAAGAGAGTGTGACTACGTGTTCCTGAAGAGTAAGCGTCTTCATAACGCTTTTAAATTAATTATTGAATAACAATGCTCATTCAACATGCTTGTTTTATGATCTTGGTAAAGGTATCGTAGTAACCTGACACGAGAAATCCTTATCGAATTAACCGAGTGAAGTATATGAAGACTACCCTATATCCACGCGCACCAACCAGACATCCTCCACCCCATATAGAGAACTAGTTGGTGAACACACACACACACACATCCACACACTTAATGTACATATATATATTATATATATTTCAATTGCCTTTCTTCTTTTCTATCTGTCGGGGAACTAAGGTCGGAATTGGATTTTTTTTAAAACCCTTATTCGACTTAGCTATTGGTAGAAAAGTGATCCGTCATTCCGTGAATAAGGATTTTAACAACTGGTTGTGGTTGGAACCAATCTAAAAAATATGTAAATAGTACTCACATGATGCGGGTAGATGAAGAGTAAGGATCCGATAGGATATTTGGAAAAGTCTAGCGGGGTGCCTTGTGTGCCGACACTCCCTAACTCCTGGCACATGCCTAACAGCCTGTAAAAAGACAGGAAAGGTCAGGGTTTATATCTTGGTGTCATCAATGGCTGATAAGAGATCATGGTTCCTTGCGGATGTCGACAGCTGAGAGATAAAATTATAACAATTTTTTTAAAGAGATATGGGTTGGTTAAGATAATGTGGGAAGTTTTATTGTCACTATCATTGCCTCATTGAGAGATATTCAATGTCTGTGTACAGTAGGCAGTTTATATACTGAAGATCATATGTATCTTCCCTTGTTTCATCTGATAATCACGTCTACAGTATCGTTCTTACCACATCTGGTGATCACGTGACTATGTTTCCCCTTATTATATATGTTAACCACGTTACTGTATTTCTCCTTACTATACCTGTTGACCACGTGACTGTCTTACTCCTTACTATACCTGTTGACCACGTGACTGTATTTCTCCTTACTATACCTGTTGACCACGTGACTGTATTTCTCCTTACTATACCTGTTGACCACGTGACTGTATTTCTCCTTACTATACCTGTTGACCACTTGACTATAATTCCTCATACTACACTTGTTGACCACGTAATGGTAATTCTCATTATTATACCTGTTGACCAAGTTCGCTTACTTTAGTTCTGGGTGGCCCTGGAAGATCACAGGTCCTTCTGCCAGCCCCAGTTCCATCCCATCGTGACTGATCGCCAGAAATCCCGCATCAATCGACATTTTGTTTTGACTTTTCTTGTGACTGATCACGCGACAGATCACGCGACAGGCAATATCACTCTCCTCGCACGTGCCTATCCGCATCTGCATGGTGTCTAACGCATAGAAAAACAAAAAAAATACCCATTCAAAGTGATCATGATTTGCGGTGTAAATAAAAAATCGTTATCAATATCTTGTCAACAGAAATCTAATTACTTTAAGCTGTGGATTTGTCGGCTGAAATTTCTTATATTTTCGTTCACTCATTACAATGAGCACATGATTTTAATATTTATTGTGGATATGGCACTATATGATAATCCAGACATTTTGAACGTTTTTAAACATTTTTGTGATAATCGTAGTGCTTAGAAAATGTGGGAAATCATATCGTTTTACGATAACATGGATATCAAAAGGATGATTCATATCATTCTCATCGATAAAATTGTTTTCTTGATACCGTGAATGTCTACCACAACAACGGATATTCAGGCTGTGAACCGGAAATCGGCTAGCTGCCTTTCCGATACTGCACAAACATGTATGAACAATATATCTTCAATTCAATGCCAGTCGATTGAATTCTAAACTTGTAGCACATCCTGTAGAATGTTGTTTGGTGTGATTTTCAACGTATTCCAAAGTATTCCCTAATCATTGAGACTATTTTTGACTGTCTTTTCAAAACCTGGAGCAAAATTTCCATATTTAGGCGAATTCAGGCATTTTTGTGAAATACTTGTTAAAATAAACACCATGTTCTAGGTTATGCCTATATAATTAATCATTCTCTAATATTTCAACATTACCATGGAAGACGTAGTTTCCAGGCGAGAAACAGTCCAACTGGGCCATGCTATCGTCAGGATGTGAACAGCCTGGAGTTGAACCCATACACAGACTTGGACAAGTCACCCCTGCTTCTGCTAGCCTATCACAAACAAGACAATACTGTCATGTTAACAACGTTCAACTCAAAACCCAATTAAAACTGGGCATCATACGAATAAACATAGGATGGGGAGACAACTCCTGCCGTTAATGGAGTCTAGACGTGATTTATTGTGAATACATTTTGAATCAGTTTAATTTGACTGTATCCAAGATGCATTTTGTGTCTTTTGTAAAATTTTCATGAGTTTTGCTGTAGTGTCAATGTCCTGATATGATCGTACATGATCGGTAGGTCATACAACTACAAAACAAACTCTAACAAAGCGAACATGTCTGTGAAAATAATCAGGCTTTCGGATAACAAGCTTGCAAATGTTCTTTCATATATAATTATAGGTAATAATATGTTATATTGTAACACCTGTTTTACTTTAAGTACTTCCCACCAATCGCCATATTGTCTGTAACAGGATCAGAATTTGATACCTACCATAAATGGAGATAAGGATTGTACAAAAGACACAAAAATGAATTTTGAATTTAAATATATTACAGTCAAACAAAGAAATTAAACTGCATGATACAGCTGGTTCATCCTTCTAGGACTCGTCAGTAATGCTACATCATATAGCTGTTTCGTCCTACAAGAACTCGTCAGTGATGCTACATCATACAGCTCTTTCGTCCTTCTAAGACTCGTCAGTGATGCTACATCATACAGCTGTTTCGTCTAATGCTACATCATACAGCTGTTTCGTCCTTCATTAATGCTACATCATACAACTGTAATGCTACATCATACAATTGTTTCGTCCTTCTAGGACTCGTCAGTGATACTACATTATACAATTGTTTTGTTCTTCAAGAACTTCTCAGTAATGCTACATCATACAATTGTTTCGTCCTTCTAGGACTCGTCAGTGATACTACATTATACAATTGTTTTGTTCTTCAAGAACTTGTCAGTGATGCTACATCATACAACTGTTTCGTCCTTCTAGGACTCGTCAGTGATGTTAAGTTGAAATCTCGGAGGCACTTGAAGAAATGGTCGAAATAAAGGTCAAACCCCAGATATGATGGAGACAACAAAAAAAATTGTTTATATAAACTTATATACTTTCTTCCCTCTCGATTAGTCAGCTTTATCGTGGCTTACCTGACCTTGAGTTGCAATAATTTGTCCGTGTTTTTTCTTCCCGACTGCCGGATAGAGTCAGGGCCGCGGGCGAGATAGGAGTCCCCACTGTGTACATACAGGCCCAGGAAGTCTATACTGGGACAGTTCGCAGCCTCTGCAGCCAGTGTCAATGCCAGATCAGAGTCCCATTCAACTCCGGCTGTCAGATTGATATAGAACATAGATTTCAACACTACAATAAGGATAATCCTAGTAGGAATTTCATACAATTCAATGCCAAGAGACGGTTAATATAATATATTTGTTCTGACAGTACCAGTGTTGTTCCGTTCAAAGATGTAAACCTTAAGTAACAGTGTGGCAGAATTGTCTTTGATCCCTATAATGTACATGGTACTTAGCTTGGCTCTTGGGACTTAATCTAAATAGAACTGCTACCGTGCTAAACCAATGCAATTACATTTTAAAGCTCTCTCTCTCTCTCTCTCTTCCCACTCCCCTCCCCCGTCTCTCTCCCTCTCCCTTGCACTCTTTCCCCTTCTCTCTCTCCCTCCCTCTCTCTCCCTCCTCCTCTCCCCCTCTTTCTCCCCCTCTCTCTCCCTCAACCTCCCTCTCCCTCCCTCCCTCTCTCTCTCCCTCTCTCTCCCCCTCTCCCTCTCTCTCCCCCACCCCCCTCTCTCTCTCACTCTTTTTATTATGTCAAAATTAAAATCAAGCAAATAAAAAAAATTAGAAATTTGACTAGGTTCTTCACTTCTGGAGAAAAGGATTACATCATCAGTCGCACACTTTGGTGTATAAAAACGTACTTCGTCCGAGTCCTAGATCTATCTCCAGATACACGGACCAATTCTTGTTATCTCCCCTTGGTGTTGTCTTTAAAGCTTCCATGCTTTCTGGACTTTCAACCATCATATGAAACTTCTCTAACTTTTCTGCAAGTCTTCGGCACCTTGAAAAAATGTTCAATTCAATAGTAAATAATTTAAGAGAGATTAAAATCAGGAAAATAATTTTTTTTTTTAAATGTTTGATCTTTAAACAATTGGTTTATCGCCCGATGAGCAGCTAGGGTCAAATTGATGCAGGATCTCCTTGACTTAGCTGGTGAATATCTCACTAAACAACATACGAAAGTGCCGCCTTATTTTATACAGAGAAATTTAGGGTTAAATGTTAACACAAAAGATGCTATCAAGACATCCAAGACGGTCCCTGAGAATCACCATCCTAGAGCGTAAAAGAGAGCAATAGTGAACATAGTAGTGAGCGATAGTGAGCATTACAAAGACCGACAGTCACTGTAACAGAGAGCGACATTGAGCATTACAGAGTGTCTCTTCGCCTAAGAATACCTCTGACCAAATTTGGGCCAAATCTAATCATTCCTAATGGAGAAGTAGGATTTTAAGGAATTTGCCCTATTTCCACAATCGGGCCCCATCCCAGGGGACTAGAATCCACCAGAAATACACAACTGATTCCACTTCACCAAAGAATACTTTAGACTAAATTTGGGAAATGTCAATTCATTCCTACAGGATTGGGATTTTAAAGAATTCACTCTATTTCCCATATTGGGCCCCGCCTCTACCGCCCCAGGGGACCGAGACCCACCGTTTATACAAAAATTGATTCCCCCCCTACACCCAGCATGCTTGAAACCAATTTTGGGCAAAACCCAATCATTCCTGATAAAGAGTTAGAATTTTTAAGAATTTGACCTATCACTCCTATCGGACCCCGCCCCTCAGGCTCCATGTACCGAGACCTACTATTTATACAAAATTGATTCTCATTCAACCAGCAATGCTTGAAACCAATTTTGCCAAAATCAAATCATTCCTTCAGAAAGAGTAGGATTTTAAAGAGTTCGTTCTATTACCCTTACTGGGCCCCGTGTCTCAGGCCCCAGGGGACCGAGACCTATCATTTATACCAGATTGATTCCCCTTCACCCAGCAATGCTTTAGACCAAATATGGGTAACATCCAATCAGTCCTAAAGAAGGAGCAGGAATTTTTTTTAAATCTCCCTATTTGCCTACGAGTTTCGGAAAGACTTTGATTGATATTGTTTTCAATGTGAACATTTCCTTTTCAGCTGCTCTTTCATGATTTAATCGAGTTATAAGAAAGTTGAGTTGATCAGAAATTTTATGAACGTGCATGAGAATGGTTTCATGAATACAATTATTTCAGTTCGGTTTCTTTTTCATATTTTGCCCTTTTTCAGATTTTTAATTCAAATTATGATTTTGTTGACATATTAGTATTCTGTAATTATCTAAAATTAATATATTTATAAAATACTATACTGGTTACCTGTCTAGTTTTTGTTGTGTTATCGGATAGGCGTACAAAATATCATCAAATCCGTGAGTGGCGTAAAATTCCGCCTCGTCTAGGGTGGAAACGACAACACATTTTTTCGTACCGTTCGTCATCATCTCGCCTAGTTCTCTGTGATGGAGACAATTCACGTGGCTGATGGTTATAAACAGGTTTGTTCTCACGGTCGAGTTACTTTGAACCTTGTTATGTAAAAGCTTTGTTTAACGACAGATTATTGAGTATACTGGGCACGCAGTGGATATCAAAATATTAATAGGTTAAAACTTTTGCGATATTAAAATCGATGATCGACTTCAAAATGAGACCAGTGATGAAATGTTGAACTCAACCATTTAGAAACCAAAATTCTTTGTTTCCAACAGCCAGTGTTTGTTATAACAAGGAATGCTGCATTTCTAGTCAATATTTTCAACATTTCCAGAATAAAGATCACGAATACAGAAAGAATCACGACATAACAGATTACACAAGTTATATAAGATACATATAAAGGAGTAGAAGAGAGGGGTCGATATTGTCTTCTTCAAATGCAGGAAATATAGATATACAAAATATTGAAAATTACTATTGTGACAGGGAAAAGAAGGTACTTACTGTGAAACCATTAATTTTCGTGGAAAATATATTAGTTGACTTTGGAGTTGTCTTATAACCATGAACTCATATGTCAAGTTACTGTTAGGATCAGTTTTTATTGGGCTCATTATCCATGAAATTAAAAGCCCCCAAAGAAGTATTTTATTTGTATAAAAATGAAACAAACAAAGCAAAACAAACCCACGAAAATAGAATCCTACGAAAATATATCGATTTACATGCGAGAAAATTTACCAAAATCACATAGTCCGAACTTTTGATTAGTTGCCCACCAATTGTTCGGAAACTGCTATTATGGTCAGTTTTAGCAGGCTATTGTTTTACCTACACCGTCTTGTGTGTCTTCATGTGGGGTCTTAGCTGAACGCCAAGGCGATCACATGTCTCCTTCATTCTCGTCACGTTTCTTTTGATGACGTCAATATCCACGAGAAAAGACGGGGTTTTGACATCATAAATTGTTTCAGGACACTTATCCTCCGCCGCCATGTTGTGATATATCGGCCTTGTGCTCCTTAATCCTAAAGAAGTCAAGGGAGAGTACATACAAGTACACCATCTATAATAATGCGACGACGTATTATGCGTGGACGTTTCACAGTATATATCAAATTATTATAAAAAAATAAGCGTGAAAAAGACATTTACCACATAATTAATAATATTTAAACAATTTCCATTTTGAAAATGTATGAAAATGACCTCACTTCAACGAAATTCTGTTAACATACAGTGTAGAACGGACCAGACAAGCATAGCGAGGTACATGATGGTACTTTATTTTAACGAAATTCTGTTAACACACAGTATGTAACACCACAGCAGTCTAGTTAGGTCCATGAAAGTTACCTTACTTTAGCGAAATTCTGTTAACACACAGTATGTAACGCCACAGCGGCTAAGGGATGAAAACCTACAATCAAAACAGCAATTCCTTACAAACGGAATGACGAAACAAATTCATATGACGTAAAATTAGAAACCGTATGACGTACCCGGAGACACGACGCTCAATACCAGTTTACTTTTATTATTCCACCAGACTTCCAAATCGTTTCTGCTGATGAAATGTAACTAAATAAACACCAGAAAATCAGCGCAAATGTTGTAAAAAAAAACAATAAAGAAATTGGCGTCAAATCATCGGCCATGCCATTCCACAAAGCTACACAAAATATCTACCCTGTCTATCAACGCACCAACTCCAGAATATCAAGATGAAATATTGGTTAAATATCTCATATTATTTCATTATTATCGTTTATAATTGACTAGAATGCATAATGAAAGGTAATAATATACACATAACACCATGTAACCACAGTTGTTGAAACCGAAAGTACTCGAGACTCCGAGAAATTCTAAGTTTATCGATAGCATGTGTTTACAAACAGTTTGACCAAAAACGAAATTAATAGACTGCACTATGACATTCAATCATAAACATTGTTATCATGTAATACCATCAACTTACAGAATGTGAGCCACTAGACTGCCATAAACCCTTGGGTGCCGCCATGTCTAATGTATTTTCCAAAACCACGAAGAGCCCCAACTAGTCGATTAGATGAACCAAATAATCGCTAAACTAGGCGATAAGCGTCAATTAAGTAAAAATTATCAAATATCACAAATAATCAAAATTTCAAAATGAACAATAATCTGAACACCAGTTAATCTCTATATTTTAACGGAACACACACGCGCGTGCCCACACACACACGCACACCACTACACACGCACACACACACACACACACACACACACACACACACAAAGAAAGTGTTAAAAGTCAGCTTACAAAAAATTAAAGTTTCATATTTATTAATGCCTGAAATGTTAACCCGTTTTCTAATATATATTGTTGCATAAAGTTAGATTTGTCGCGTTTTGTTGAAGCTGAGTACAAAATATGAGTGGAAAGCAAACCTACAATGAAACAAAAAGGTATGATCATACGCTATAATTGTTGTCTTCATGACTTACTACAGAATATATTGGTACAGGTGTATATCTGGTCTCTGGACAACGCTATCTGCGATATTATGTCAGTTCACTCAACCATAAGAAGACCACAAGTGTCAGCAGTCTTTTAACACCTTTCGGGGGTTACATTTAGTAAAAAAGTGTTTGTAACAAAATATCTGTTATGTTTACAAGGAGGTTACATGTGAAAAAAAGTGTTTGTTACAAATTGTCTACAATGTTTACAGGGAGGTTACATATAGAAAAAAAGGTGTTTGTAACAAACTGTCTACAATGTTTACAGGGAGGTTACATGTAGAAAAAAAGTGTAACAAATTGTCTACAATGTTTACAGGGAGGTTACATGTAGAAAAAAAGGTGTTTGTAACAAATTGTCTACAATGTTTACAGGGAGGTTACATGTAGAAAAAAGTGTAACAAATTGTCTATAATGTTAACAGATACCTGTCTATTTTGACCATAACTTTTGAAAGAAGGAACGCTCAGTTAAAAACTATTGTCTCGACTTCAATGCACATGTTTTGTAAAACGTAAATTTTAATTCAAATACATTGTATATTGATTGTGTGTTGGTCGTATTGGTTCTGATCTAATAAACAATTTATCATATATGAATCATCTTTAGCAAGGCAAGTTTTCACAAGTTCTTCATAATATGAATATTTCAATCCCAGGGGTGGGGGTTGGGGTGGGGGTGAAAGTAAATTAATATATTAATATATGCTGGTGAAACTGACGTGTAATTGAGTCAATATCTCGCTCTATGCAGACTTACATAAGGTAAATTACACGTCATAAACGGTTCGTATTGTCTACTGACAATGGATGGACTTGTAACTTACCTACAGTTAGAACTGTCTGCTGGCCTGATCCTGATGTATAAACACGCTTCCTGGCTCTAGAATACATGAATACAGAGTGTTGTGAGCGAACATGGTATTTTTCCATCTTTCACTTAGCCATTCTGTCCTTTGGATCCATTCCATATTTCTATTCGATAAAGGTACAACACTATTTATTATCCAATCAATATTACCTCGACCTGAATACCTACCTGTCCACGACTATTAAACGATGACTGTACACACTCATAAACTACCGCATTGTGGTGTAGTTCTCCCTGTCATCGTGTCTTATCTCGGTGGAACCTATGAATATGTATGTATGTTCAAACGTCACGTGTCAGTGGTGCAAACTGGCACCCTAACCATGAAATTGACCAACTTAAATTATTACAATAAAGACATATGTATTTCACAAAGTGTGCAATATTGAGCACATGCTTTACATAGTACAGTTTAAATGTTTGTTGCAACCAGGGCATAATGCTTTTTATTGACCAGTATTGATCCGTAGCGTAGATAACCTTTATAACGAAGGCTAAAATTTAATCTTGTAGTAGTAAACATATTGGCGACTACCTGAAAGCTAGCAGTTTGCTGTGTCGCTTGCAGAGCTGGCAGACACTTAGGAATCACTTTATCCGTCGTCACGCGTCGGCGTCGGCGTCGGCGGCGTCCGTACGGAAGTTTTCCGGACTTTTTTTCGGTTATGTTTTGAGTTATCAAAATGGAATTTCGTATATGGCTTCTTCTAGGAAGGTTACAGATTAAGTTCGATTTCCGGCTGTCTGTGACCCTTCTTAACAGAGTAATGCCGCTTTGAACTTAGAAAATTATCTGGGAATATTGTTTTCTGGACATTCTTTGATTATGCTTTGAGTTATAGAAATGAAATTTGGTATATGACTTCTTGTTGGAAGGGTACAGATTAGTTTAGATTCTTGGCTGTCTGTGGCCCTTCTTTGCAGAGTTATGCCTCTTCGAAAATTTTTCGAGAATATGGTTTCTTGTACTTTTCTTGATTATGCTTAGAGTTTTTGAAATGAAATATGAGAAATGGCTTCATGGTCGAACATTACAGATAAGGTTCGATTCACAGCTTTCTTGGCAGAGTTATGCCCCGTTAAACTTGGAAACTTTTCTTGGTTATGCTTCGAGTTATCAAAATACAATTTTGTATATGAGTTCTTGGTCAAAAGTTAAGCACCGAGTTCGCATCTTGGCAGTCTGTAACCTTTCTTGGCAGTGACATGTCCCTTTGAACTTGGAAAATTTCTTAGGAATATTGCTTTGCGCAGTTTTCCCTTTGTGCTTCGAGTTATAGAAATGAAATTTGGTATTACAACTTTATGATTGAACGTTGCACATCCAGTTCGATTTCTGGGTGATCATGACACTTAATGCAGGCGACACATACAGTTCTGAGGAACTCTTGTTTAATAAAGTAGGACTTACCACGACTTTTTTTATGTAATATGATATCGGCAGAATGTTGATATCGTCTCTTTTTTTACCTTTCTCTCCGCCCTTTGTTTACCCATCTATCCGAAATCCAAAATGGCCTGGATGATTGCCACCTTAAAATCACGTTTAAAACCGCTTCTCTAGCTGCACTGGTGCCATTGAGCTGGAAGTTGTGGGGTTGTCAAGAAAAGGAAGCCAACAAGGTGTTGTTATTTTCCTGCCCGCTCAAAATTTCAACATGGCATCACGGCGGCCATTTTGTAACACGATTGCGAAATGTTTTCTTGAACAAAAACCAGCTGGGGTTCAGCTCAAAATTGTATGAAAGGATCTTGAAATGGTCCTGATTAAGTGTCGTGTTATTCCTAGGGTCAGGCTGGAATCAGAGCTGGTAGACAAAGCTGCTATCTTGAAAAGCACTTATTTTTTTGACAATATCACTGGTTCAATTGAGTCATCTTCATCCGTGTTCGACTTTTCCGTCACACCGGAAGACAACTGCTCATGAAGCTCTCTATTTCATTTCCTTTGACACGTCATCAAAATACTTTCTGGTGCTAATAACGATGCCTTTGTAACCGAGGCACAATCCTGTTTGACTGACATGTTTTAGGGTGTCTTTCTTTAGACCCCCTCTCCATAACTGTATAGAAATTTAAGACGGCATATAGCTTGAATTCTTAGGTCTTTAGCGTGCAAGATTGGTGTTAAAGCACATCCAACCATTGATTTAAGATTTGTGTTTTTACCCCTTATTAGTGTAACCGGTGTCCCGGTGTTGTTGCTATGTCAGTGAAAACAGCTGACGTCTAAGGCGCAATGGTAGCAAAGGTCGCAAGGGTTTCACTCCACGAGGACGAACTTATATTTGATAAGCTCAAGTCCTTAAACAAAGGGAATCCCGATTTTATATATTTTTTTAATTTCTTCACGAACAATTTCTCACTGCCATTTAAAAGTGTTTTCATGAACCTATAGTTGCATTGTACAAACCCTTTATTGCTGAAGAGCATCTCCTTGACATTATGTATAATTTGGTCCCAGCGTAAAGAATGAAATGTTGTCTCCCTGGAGAGACAATGTTTTTGTCTGCCTAAGAGGTGTACTGGATCTTTGTTCAGTATTACGTATAATTGTTTTTATTAAATTGACACAATATTATTCCTAGCTCAGTAGAAACTTTCGGATATTTCCAAAATAAAAAAAAATTCATTTATCTGATATGAAATAAAAACTAAGTTATATTCTAAATAAATATGTACCATACTGTTCTTTACATTGACTGTTAACCTGTATTTGTAATGATTGTCTTGTACGATCTCTCTGCTTTCTCAATGATTGTTAAAAAAGTAAAAAGTAAATAGCACCTTACAATACAAAGTAAGAACTAGTAGAGCCAAATAAAAACCAACAGAATCATATCACGGTTCTATTCTAAGAATTCTTAGTAATGATTAAATTTTGAAAACCAAGAGGCAACTGAAAAAAATTGAAAATGCACTCCATTGATTGCAACTAAGCAATAATTTCTTTATGAAATTAATTCCAACATCATTTCTTGGACTTTTGTGTTCCTATAAACTTTATAAACTTAAAAAGGACAATTTTTATGACGTTTTGAAGAAATTTTGTTCATGGAGTACTTCTTTTTGACAGCATATTTTGGTGAATAGTATCCACAATTACAACATTTTCTGATTGCTACATAGGGTAGATTCAAAGTAATTTAAATACATTTAATAGATAAAATAAATTTTGTATGAATTATCATCACAGATCACAAATTTCAAACAAATGGTTGCACTTGTTTCTTGATCTTGGAAAAAATGGCTATTAAGATGTAAATTTAAAATAAAAGCACAGTGAATTTCTTTCTTTAATCATGAAAAGAATTCTCTAAAATTTCTCTATCCAAACATAAAGTCTTTTAAAAGTTTAATACTAAAGGATTGTCAAATACCGTAAATAGATTTAAGTGATTTTATGCTTTTAATCTACCTTTCAAAAATCATCCTCAGAAAAAAAGTTTAATACTGGAATTTTTCCAATTTCTCTAAAAGTAGCTCCATGATGAAGCACAATATGTATATACGAAAATAAATACAAAAAAAAGTTCATTTAGGAAAAATAGTTTTAATGGTTTTTACAGTTGTCCCATTGAAAACATGGTGGTATAAAATGTATTTTTTTGAACTGACATTTCTCACAAGCACTCTCATTACAAAATAATCTTACATTCATAATCATCACATTAAACACAGTCATATACCAACAATGAGACACAGGCTTGTTTCTAGATTTGTGACATTACCACACGATCAACAGTTAAAGAGAAATGATTTTATCCAAAATACAAGTGTCTCCATCTTCAAACAAATATGTCCCACTGAAGCTAGAATGAGTCAAACCCTCAAAATAGTGGTACACACAACATGAACCATGATGTTATTACTATAGCATTTTTTTTTCATTCTATGACAGACAATACATACATCAATCTTCTGAAGAGCATTTGATCCCTGAAGTGATCTGATCAAACTTAAAACACTCGCCGAACCCAAAATACCCTAGTAATGTATAATAACATATATTTAAAGAAAAATGTGAATTCATGTTAATATAAACAAAAATATGAAATCAGTGATATATTGATAAATATATACATATCAATAATCAACACATTTCACAAATCTACACATACATGTTGAAGATTATTAAGGTAAAACAATCTGTGATCTTAGAAATTACTGTAGACATACATATTTAAGTAGTAATGTTAATCTAATATTTCTTGTATTGAAAATTTTGTGTGAAATATGATTGCACTAATAGTACTTTCTGTATGCTGATTATACAATAATTATTGTGGATGTGCAAATTTACTGTTATGCTAATTTACCAAAAAGTGATAATGCTCAGAAATTTGATTTTCCTGACTAAGGTGAGTTTACAGTAATTCATGGAGTAATTTCCAATAAACTTTAACGTTGTCAAGATAAATTCCTGTCCTTACAGATTTTACACAACAGAATTTGATATTTTTGATAAAAATTGTATAAATTTTACATCAAGAGTTGTAAAATTGATTGAAAAAGAATTTTGTTGTTAACTCAACACATCAACCTAATGGCCACAATATATACAAAGTTGATCTTCAGTTGCCTCCCTGGAAATTACTGTTAACATACAAATTTTTGCTGTTATCTTAATATAGTAATTTTCGAGCTGAGTATTGTGCTATAATATGACTGCTCTAATTGCAAAGATGATGAAATAACATTTAATTGCACAAAATTAATTATATTTACATTAACATCCACTGTAGTATTTTTTTTTCACTGTAAGGACTCAGAAGAGTTCAGTTATATAAGACATTATCTACATTAAATATTACAATGCCTTTGCTAGAGAACAAACCTGAACCTTTTACCAGTCTTGTTTTCACCTGACCAAGCTGAAGATAAGCTCTCTGTAGTTGAGTGGCTATTATTTACCAGGGTAACATGTATAATCCATGGATCTCAGCTAATGTGAAAATCCTTCTGTATTCTATATTTATTAAACTCTTAACTTTTCACTTAAAATTGTTTTATTCCCCTGGACTCTGTCCTTCATGCCTCTTTATCAAACATGTATAAATATCATTAAACAGATGAAAAAGATACCAGCTTTTTCACATACACATACAAACACACTCACATATCAGCACTTTGATATATTTTAGAATTTATTTCATAAACCAAGGAAAGATGCATGTGATTAGTATGTTTGAGTATCTTATCAAAATCAGTTTGAATTTTTCATGTGTATAACTTCTAGTAAATGGAAATACAGACTTGTCACTCTACACAGAATGAATGCACACAGGAAGTTATCACTACAGCTCTATAATCTGTATAGGTTATTTATAGTTGTAGGGATAGAGCACATTAAAATAGTGAAATAAAAAAACCCAAATACATGTACTTCTTTACACTACATGGTATGAAAAAATAACTGTAAAAAGTGACTACTATATCCTTATGTATGATCAGATCCCAGAGTGAATGTTTTATATTACAAAATTTTATGGAATACAACATCAGTTCTAATGAACAACTAACATATTTTTGATGAAATCAATGACAACTGTATCACAAAAATATCAAAAATTACTTTCGAAAAAAATGCAATTAAATAAATCATTTAAGGATATTTACTGTATTACTTGTAAGAGTCATCTCCCTTACATAAAAACTTGGAACTACCCAAGTTTCCTCATTGCTAAACTCCTTCAAAATATTCACAGTTCCCATCAATGAAATAATGAATTTATCATCTAGAAAAGGTTTAATCAGAATTTCATTGTGGAACTCTTTATTTTGGGAGATAAATTCATTAGATACCACCACTACAAATGCTGGTTTTCCTCTCATACATCACATAACTTCAAATATATATGACAATTACATTTTTTAAACAAAAGCAAAATGTTTGGAGATATTGAAATTAAAACTCTAAAACACATCTGTTAAGCAAATAAATTTGCTTGAAGTCCATTATAAACAACTTTCTTTGATTCTTGTTTCAAAATATCTTTTATTTCTGAAATAAAAAGAACATGAGCATTATATTATATTCCAAGACAAAAACATTCAATATGGCACAAAAAAATATGGATAAGCTCATTTGAAGTCAATAAATGTTTCAAAAATAAAGTTCACTTTTGTCATATTGGAGGAAAATGCTTGAGAGAACAACTTTACATGAAAGTGTTTCAGTCTGATCAGTTGTTTTTTACGACTCTGCGGCTTATATATCAGTGTGGCTTATAACCCAAAAAATATGGTAGTATATGGTAGTCACATTATTGTTGTATCACAAGGCTGTGACAGATTATAATCCTATTTTTACTCAACATTTATATGATATGAAGCACTTAAGATGCATAAATGTACTAGACAGTAAACTCTTCAGAAACCTAAATACAAAACCCTCATGTTTCATGATCAAAAAGGATCCTGAATTAATAGCAATTAATATAAATATACAAACTTTTTCATTTTTTAACTTATTGATTTATGAAATTATCAATTTCAATCATAAAATCTTCAATTGTATGAGTAAGTTTCTGTACTTACGTTCCTGGTCCTCCTGAGTAAGTGTACCTTTGGGGAATTCTACATCAAAGGTAATGATTAGGGCTCCTTTCACATTATTATTTTCATAATTTGGCATCCCTTCTCCCGACTTCCTCATCCTAGCTCCAGGCCAGGTGATTTTATCACGAACTATGTGGACCTGCAAAAAATTATTATTATAATAATAAAGGTGTATCCTCATGAGCTGACATTTTCAGTATGTTGATTACAAATTATATCACATCAGTCAATTCATAATTTAACAACCTGCAAACTCAGTTACAAGCAATTTTTCAAAATTGTATTAACTCCTTTAATACATCATCTTTTCTGAAGTTTTATCCATACATTATACATCCCTTTTTAAGTTACTGACCATAACAGAATTCCATATCTAATCTAATTTCTTTCACAAGTTCAAACAGAGTGAGCACCATCTCACACTGATATAACTCCCTCCTCCCCTAAATCATATACACAAGCTTCTTATTTGAAAGATGTCAAAGGTAACCGATGACCATTTGATTAGTAATCAACAAAATATAATTAGGTCTAGACTCTGGTGTTGTGATGCTACAATCTGAACTCAATCAATTCAGAGATTCATGAGATAGACAGTATGTTAGCTTTTTTGATTTTGCAAAGAGGTCAAGTGTGATCTTTGACCTTTAACCTCCACTCATGACAACAAAATCTAAGTAGGTGTAAACCTTAGTGGTATGATACTTTGGTGTGAGTATTAACTAAATCTGTTCAGGGGTTCAAAAAACATCTCGTACACATGGTGATCACCACTACACACACTCACTCATGCATACTTGGACACACAGACAAATTACTACAGGGTAACCAGATTACTATCAGGTAACCCATCCACCCTTAATCTTAGCAGGGTTTAGTTACCAGGTCAAGGGAAAATTTCAGTTCACCTAAAAAGATAATATCTTGACAGAAACTGTCAACTAACTACAAAGATGAAATTCTGGAATTTTTCAGCAATTGTAACAATCTGAGAGAAGTAAAGACACAGTTTTACAATACGGAGCATATCTTACCAAATGGCCATCTAAATGAGGAATATCCATCTCAAAACCGGTGAGTGCATCAGCCAGAGTGATGGTAACATTAGTAAAGAGGTCATCTCCTTTTCTCTCAAATCGTCGATGTCTGGAAGATCAAGTTGACACTTTATTAGGCACATCAAAAAAGAAGATAGGAATATGTCTTCTAAATCTACCTGCAGCAGTAATTTTAAATTTCTTCCTCAGTTATGTGAGAGCTTAAACATAAACTTGGTGTAGCAAAGATTGGTTTTGCTGAAAACAAGGGATCCAGAGGAGCTCAATCCTGATGTCTAAAATCTGCTGATCTTCTTTAGCTGTATTTAAGTGTTATATCCTTTTCTCTCTTAGCTAGCTGCTGTATTGATTCTTTTATATACTTACAACAGCATGATAAAAACAAGGGGCTCACTTACACCCTACCCCTTGATCAAAGTGGTCTATGATGACCTTTGACCTTTAACCTTGACATAAGATATCCAATTTTTATAAACATTTCTCTCAATATAAAGTTTAAAATACTTGATCACTGATTTCCCAGTCAAACACCATCAAAAATATTGTCCCAATGAAAACAACTGGATATGTGGTAAAATGGACCTGCTTGATTCAAGTAAATTTGAAAGCATCCATACAACACAAATTGTTAGACTAAGAAAAGGTTATCTAAGCCCTCCACCCGATAAACCCTATAAACCCTGTAATTTATGTCAACTAATCAAGAGAAATACAGATAAATTATTGCTGTTGGTAACTCACTTCGCCTGTTTGATCTTGAATCTCAGGTCTCCTGGTTCTCCATCAATGTGTGGTTCTCCTGTAAGAATGAAATAAAGTATCAACAAAGATCATAACAATAATCTATGACACAGATTCTGCAGCATAAAACTGAAATTCTAAGTAGCATTTTTATCGGGTTTTTCTTGTTATTTTCAACAATATCATCCTTATATTTTAAAAAGAAACTTCAATGCTCCTAAAAATGTTTTCATTCTTTTTGGGAAAGGAGGAGAGTGGGAAAGGGGGCTCATTTCAGTCCTGATTTCCTGTTACCAAAAAGTGTGCTACATTTACATCTCTGTTTAAAAGTCTTTACCTGTGGGACCAGAGTTGTTTGTTAACAAAATAAGGATAGAAGTGATTATATGTATATCTTATTTTGCTTTCTGAGGAGCCAAAAACTCTCAAAACCTGTATTTTCATGTCTGTCTTTACTTTTGTCTGAAATTTGATAACTTAAAGGTAGAAACTGGTTTGTCAATGTAAAAAGAATATCCTCTTTTGAGTCTTACCACTTATCAATCTATTAAGAGAGATAAACTTAAATTAGTGAAAGTCCTACCTTCAGCTACAAATGGATATTCTTGTTCATCCCTCATGCCCTGCTCAATCTCTATCTCCAAAACTCTTTCTTCTGGTACCATCCTGTGTGGTAAAAATGTTTTTAAATGGTCAAGTAAACTTTCTGAGTAAAACTGTAATGTTCTTACATGCAAAAATGTTTAAAATCTACTTCGACACAAAATACTGTAGGATAATATTATCACTGAATTTTGTTTCTCTGTCACTTTAGTCAAAAATGAATTTCATTGTGTTTAGAATGACAGAAAGAAAATATCAACTGTAATGATTAACATTAGTTTTCAAGCATTATTGAATAAATACAAATACTGAGATACTGGAAAGTCAGGTTGTTACAGTAACTTTTTATAAAATTTGTCACCGTTGTTGATATCAGCACATAGCTGGATAGCAATCTTAGTAAACATGATGTTAGCTGTACATACTTGACATTGGGACAGTCATCACAGACTTGTTGTTGGGTCATTTGGAAGCGGCCTGGTCCAAGCTGTTGAGTAACCATCTCCATGCGACAGTTGCACTTCCTTGTACCTTTAGCTGGTTTAGCCACTGGCTTGTATCGGATCACCTGTTAACATGTTATGTGATATCCTTCAAGATTTAGTAAAAGTTACTGCTTATATTTTAAATTCAAGAGATCTTAAAATGACTTAGAAGCATATAGCACTTTAACAAAACTTTATATGACATAAGAGTAGTCTCCCTTAGTTTTTCTTAACCATCTAATTTTGATTAAGAATTATCGCTACCTCTGTCCTTTCTCAGATTTTGTTTATTAGGAATTTCTTTGTATTAAAATATTAACACACGAGAAAGTTATTTTAACAAGGCAGTAATTCATAAAACCTAACACATAATACTGATTATTTACATTCAATCAATCTCCCTTAATAAATTTTCATGTATTAAAAGTACACAGACATATACTGGCAAGGCAAAAACCTTGCTATAGGTGGATTCCTGAAGATGGGAAACCTGTACGATGAGACCAATCATATTATGATTAATCTTCAATATGTATCTAAAAGTTTCCATAATTAGATTATCAGTTTAAACAAGCAGTGCATGCTTCATCAAATATATAAGTTCATCAAGACATTGAACTATATGAGATGAAGACAGAGAAGAAAATCTTGCAAAACATCCTGATTAGATGAAGAATTGTAAAAACAACTATGATACTTTTATCCAGATTTTTTTTATCAGAAATCCAGACACAAACCTCTACAAAGTTTCCTGTATATAGTTCTTCCAGTGAAACTTCCAGGTCCATAATAACATCACCACCTCTTGGAACTTCCCGGTCCTGTGATCTTGAATTTCCAAAAAAAGGACTGAAGCCTCCAAAAAAACTGCAAAATAAAGGAATAAAAACAAATAATAGGATTGTGAAAGCTTTCTTTTTGTAAGTTGCTATGAGGTTTTTAGAGAGCTGTAAATGATATGATTTTGATGTTATCTGAATGAAAAAATGTATTTGTATTTTACTGAAAAAATGTTTAGGAAAATATGAGAAAATGTATTATATGTATACCCCATTGTCTTACATCAAGATCTTTAACACTGAATACATAAAGCTGTATTATCTGTGAAAAAGTCAATCTAAGTTACTCCACATTCCTCAAATAGTTAGCATGTTTCAATCCACGCCAACAAGAGTGATTAATTAAGGTTGGAAAAGCTTGTTTTGCAACTGTTGTAAAATGATTTAAGTTAAATTCAAAAGTTAATTTCAAATGATGATTCATAAAAATATGTCAATAAGCTATTGAAGGAACAATTATAACACTGGAGATTGAATTAATAGGGCTTCTACATTGTGAGCATGTGTGAGTATAACAAGTGTTGTTCCCTAAATATTTCGATTTTGTATGTTGACTGTATACGTTTATTAATTGATCAACTTCTATTCTAAATATATAAAATATTTCTCAAAATTTCTTTATACATACTAAAGAAAAGTGAATATATCAATACAAGATTTACTTCCTGTCAACAAAAATTATGAAAATATCTTGACAATCAGTTAAATGAACATGTTAAAAATCATTTTCAGGATAAAAAGCATGATATGCACTGATTGTGAAATCACTTATGTTTATCTAAAAGCATTGGTATATGGGTGTAATTCAACACATAGATCTCCCTTCATGTTTATGACAAGGCCTTGCAAAATCTTTGAAAAGCACTTGTTTGTTACAGTATTGACTTCATAAAAAGTACTTCTTCGAACTACAAATGCACTAGTCTGAAAACATAGTTTTAATTCCTTAAATGTCTATCAAGAAGTATTTCACTTTCACACTTGCGAAAAATTCTGAATTGGTAGAACGGTATAATGACACTCATTTCTGTTTGATATGAACTTTTAATTAATGTCCAGTCTAATAACCTTTCAAATGGGTCTCCTGATACGTCGCCTTTCTTTAGACCTTCTTCTCCATGTTTGTCATAAATCTTCCTCTTTTCATCATCTGATAACACCTGTCATGAAGAATAACTTATGAAAAGACCAAATCAATAAACACCCACAGGATTTTTGTGAAACATATGCTCCTTTGTCAAATATGGCAAAGAACTGTAAATTTTACCAATCACAACAAACAAAATTTCCAAATCAATATAAAAAAAAAAATTAAATTAATAAATGGCAGATGGTGTCATTGTGTAACTTCTAGCAAAATATTGTATCACAAACTTTATATTAAAGTTTTTTCTTCTTATTTCAACACACATTTTTCACATTTTTACAATTTTACATTCTGAAGTATAAAAATATTTCGTTAATTCCACAACCAAGGTCCCAATTATAGAATATTCAGTATACCAGGGAACATTTTTACCAAGTATATCATTTGATTTGCCTATGCATTCAGCTAGCTGTTAATTAATTTCCTCCAATTATTAAATTTGCCTTAAAATACATAACATAGTATAACATAGTGATTACAAATCCCCCATAACCATTAAAACAACTTTGTAAAGTTGTAATTGTACTTGGCAATAACATTATAATCAATAAATAAACGAATTTTGTTCAACCTGACCCACATCTGCACTACCAGTACCCAAAATACTGCAAAACACGTGAAAAAGTTACATGTACTTACTTCATATGCAGCACCTAAATTCTGAAATCTCTCGTTAGCCTCTGGATCACCTTGATTTTTATCAGGATGCATTTCTTTTGCTAACTTCCTGTAAGCCTTTTTTATTTCATTTTTTGTTGCTGATTTTCGAAGTCCCAAAATGTTGTAAAAGTCTCTTCTGCAAAACAAACCACAAGATAAAAGCTGACTTTATGTGTTAACGAATTAACTGATCTTAATGATTTTAAGAGGTGCGACATTGGTATTAGTTTGTGTGGATAGTACTTCTTTCCCCAAGACCTGATTAGTACAGGGATATAATTTCTGATACTTGTTTACGGGCACCATACCATTATTTTTTTCAAAAAAAATTTTACTCCAATGAAATAAACTCTGCCATTCCCAAAATCAATTATTGGTCAGTAAATAAGGACAATTACCTGGTATCAAATGAGTATGTACTCAGTGAAAAAGTGTTTTGTTTCAAGGCAAAGTTACAGGAAATAGATATTGAGAGAAAATTATACAGCTTGACTATCTTCAATATCAGAACAATCACATGATTGCTTTGAATGTGCTAGACATTACGTGAATGTTATGTGGAATTCGCAGAGTTTTTGTTGATGTGTACATTGGACAGTCTTGCTATATTTAAGTATTGAACATGTTTTTCCCCCAAGACAATGTTAAAAATTTGGTAAAATATGCGACATGTTTGGAAAATGACTACGTTTTAAAACTAAAACATGTGTCATGCCTCAATTATCTTTGCTTTGAGTGTTGCACGTAAATGACCATAGTGTAACAGTGTACTTCAGTTGAGTCAATATACTCCAAATGGTGTTATATACTCCATTTGGGATTTGTATGAGACATGATAGTTATAAGGCATCAAAATAGCAGCAGGAATCCTCTATATATGTATGATTTTTGCTAATGAATAATTTAGGAACATACTGGATATTATCATTCTGATACATGTTGACATTTCATGGTGTCAGGGTTAAGCTACTGATTACAATGACATCATTTTCCCCAATCAGTCCAAAGAATCTTCAGACTTTATTTTAAATTGAGCCCTTATCTTAGGTTAAGACATAATCATTAATTACTTTTCAAAATCAAAAGAAAAATAAAAAGATATCACTTCATTCATAAAATCGATTATTTCAAGATTCGTAGTTTTCTCTTTTTCGACCAATGAGAGGTTTCCACGCCTACAAAAATGCGTCTGCTACAGAAACCGGCTTGACAGGAAATATAATTCACTATATTTTAGAGTAATAATCGACACCACGTTTAATTCATTACCGTAAAAAGTCATTGATGACTATATTTTGTATATGTCATTTCAATAATACTTACCCTCCCATAATTTGGAGAAAAAGTAAAAATATATTCAACGCAAATAAACTCCACGCTGCTAGAGACGCCATTGTTGTTGTAGAATGAAATAGTCACTTCCGGTAGATAATTTTAATGTAATTTCTTTTTAAGTCTAATTTTTCCTGTTATAACTTAATGTGTTGCCATAAAAATTAGAAACAATTTGTTTCGAATAAGATTGATCGATAGCCAAGGTAGTTTTAAATTTCCTTTTTGTTTCATATCAGAGATTAAGAAACAAAGATGGATTCCTACGACTTCCGGTGAAGCGTTCGGGCATCGATTCTAGAATTAAATTTACTTTATATCTTATATTGGCGAATCCTTGGGATATTAATCGGCAGATTATTGGTTCCTTTATTCAATTATACGTTTGGAGTAAAAGAAGATAAAAGAATGATGGACGCAGAAGGTAATGTACTGTACCTACTATACTTTGTATATAACAAGTTAAGGCGACAAATAAGTTTCAGCTTAGTCAGATAATGCCAGTTAATGCTAACATGAGTATTCAAGTAAGAAGGAATACGCAAATTCCCATCTTCACAAATTGGAAATCATGCCGGTCAGATCAAATTGGGTATTAGAATTGTATCCCATGTCGATCGTGAAAGGCGACCAAATTTGGGATCAACTACAGTTTCCCTATACTTATGTTTTATATTTTGGCATTTTGTTGGGTGTTCGCCCTTGTGAGGAAGGCTTTGGCACCTTCCCCATTGTCGATATATACCAAAGCCTGTGAAAATGGATTTGTAACCCTGGTAAAATACAAGATGCAATATACCACACTACTTGAAATCTTCTGTCAAGCTCGATCAGTTGAGGCATTGAAATAAAATGTAAAGTTGGCTTCATTTCCACACTATCGCAAACCAAGGAGGCTTACATAACATATTGCAGCCTTTCGCAAACAAGTATGCCCATCCCAGTCACCCACCTGGCATATATCAAGAGGCTGTCCATAAGTGACCAGCTGCTGTTGATTGGTTATTCAATAACTTAAAACAATGTCATAAATAAGACAAATAAACTAAGAATATTTTCATTTCAGAATTAGAATTAGACAAAACACATGGTTTACATGAGGACATGAGTATACAACAACCCCTTGCCTCCCCTGGAGTGACCCCAAGGATTGACTTACTACCCTTCAGCAGTCCAGGAGCCTTAGTAACACCCAGATCCAGCAGGTCAGTTGCTTCAAGAGTGACTCAGATGGAGGTTCAACAACGAAGAAGCTCGTCTAGGTCGATAAAACGAAAGAAATTTGATGATGAGGTGGTTGAAAGCAGTCTAATAAAGACAGAGCGGGGCCGTATGAAACTTCCACCACCTCCACCCCCACCTTATGTGGAAAAAGAGAAACCAGAGCCTGTTGAAAAGGAAATACCAGTGGCACCACCTCCAGAGAAGAAAAAGGTCATAGTCACACCACACCCAGAAAAAAAGAAAGTAAAAATTGTAAGTAGTACTTATAAGAACTGATCATACATTGTGATGTGAAAGCTTATTTTCAGTTAAAACTGTCCATGAAGAAATTCAGATTCAGTAACAGCTATATGCAGAATCAATATATATACCCCCTATCCTCTGCCCCACCCTAAAAGAATGAAAAATGAGCACAAATTACTACAAAGTTTACATTAATTTGTAAGTTGTCTGTTGTAGACACAGGTGTAAGTCCATGCTCCAATGAAAAGGCTTATGCTAAATGATAAATTCAAATATCTGTAACATCATTGTTAAAGAGATAACACCCTTGCTGTTTCTATTTAATGCACCTGTCATTGCTTGGAAATGGTTGATTTTCCTTGATTGTCAACTCAGTACAAATGAAAATAATATCATAATAATATTGGTAATATGTTTGTATATATCAATTAGAAAATGCAAGCCAAGAGCTTTTCGGAATATTGAATGATATTCAATGTATAGTTAGTTGTCATACAAGAAGATTAATGTCTACTTTAAATGGTGACTGACTGTTCCAGTTATTGCCCATGTAACAGGTATCAAGGTACTATAAGTGTGTGCTTACTTTCTCATTGCTGGATGGGGATGATGTATTGAACTGAAATTTGATATGAGTTTGTAACATGTTAATCACAGTCAGCCATGAAGTAATTTGACCAATTACTGACACCAGGTGAAAAACTACTTCTTAAAAAGCTAGAAATGCAAAAATGCTTCTAAATTCTAATTAGTTATCATCAGCAGTTTGTTTGTCCTGATTCTTAGATATTTTCATTAATATTTTGGACTTTTGATATTCTATTGAAACTTACATGTTTTCTTACGTAATGAAAAAATTCATCTCATCTGAGGTCACTTCACACAAATTTTTAGTTTCATCAAACATTAACAGATTTTGCTTTTTTTTAAAAAAACATATTAAGAGTTATTCATGCTTTACATTGCATCTTTAATAATCATTTAAAAGTTTAAAGGTTAAAAAGTTATTCATCATTTACAGTGGTTGGTGTACATTTCAGTATATTGAGTTATCTACCTTTGTTTGTGTGTGAATCAAATAGAGTTATCCAACATTGGGTTAAAAAAGATGTAACTGATTCTGACCAGCATGGTCATGACACTTAATGACAGTGAGGCTTCGTGATAACTTTATTTTGTCCCAGGGTCTGTTCGTTTATGTGGACAACTGGTTTATTGGCAGCGTAATGTTTCAGGCATAAATTAGGATAGAACTCAAAAGACATTGTGGAAGCATGTCAGAAAACAAAATCAGATCAGTGGCTCCCCCATATTTCATAAATGAACAACCCTGGTCCAAATGAAATTGTGAAACAACCTTTTTGTATGTGGTCATTAATAAAACATGAATTAGTGACATGGTCATGCAGTGAAAGGCAAAGCACCTGACTTGAAATTTTCAGCAGAAAGGTTGCTGTATAGAATACCAGAAAATCTGAGTTTGAGAAGTGTATCCTGTGTTTTGGTTGGTGTTTTTGTCACTGTGTTGAGTTGTCTACCTTTATTAATACATGTACAGGAATCAGTGATTAGAATTAACCCTTGACATGACACAGATTACTCTTACAAACTTAAATTCCTCTAAATGTAATCTAACTCCTATTCTTCATCTTAGAAAGCATGCGAGACTAAGATGATAGCCATTATTATTCAATACACAACTGTAAATATAAGCAGTATACAAACTAAATATGTCTCAGAAAACTTTGACTACTAATCCAAAAATGTAGCCAAGTAATAACATTGATAAAATTGACAAGTAAAATCTTCTGTAACACCTTATCGCTATAACACACATACTAATCAACTTAATGAATAAATATATTATTTACTATTACAAAAAATATTAATTAAAAAGCCCTCTCACTGACAAAGAAATCAGTAAACAAAAATTGTCTATGTATAAAGTTAACCATTTAATTTATCATGTTTTAAAATAGTTTTTGGTGTTGTTTTTACAGTCATCCAAATCTCATTCTTCGTCGTCTTCATCAAAACGAGCTAAACGTCAAAAGGTATGTATAAATTCAAGCTTTAACACACACCCCTCCCCTTTTCCTATCTATGTGCCTGTCAAAACTTTTGACAACTCTGGAACTCTGACAGTTCAACCAATAGCATTCAAATTTGATAAGCTCAGTCAATGAAGTTGAATATTCCTGAACAGCTGTTCAATTTGACTGTATTTGGAAGAGTTACTGCCTCTTACTAGCTTGACGTTTTCATAACATTACTCTTGTCCGGAAATCTGTACAGTTTTCAACCTATTTCTTTCAAACTTGGTAGACTTCATCAATATGATGTGAAATTGTACTTTCCTGAACAACAATTTAATTCATTGTAGAACTTGATTGATTGAGCTTGAAAATAGTTTATAAGAAGTCCAAGGTCCAATTCCTTTAGCAAAGACCCTGAAATAATATTCATCTCTTGTTTCAAATCATTAAGCAAAAATTAAGGATGACCAATGATCAAACAAACTTCAGTCATTTCAATTACAAAATGCATCATTCCGTGATATATTGGTCTGTTCTTAATATTTTATCGTTGGTTTGTGAAGGGTTGTAACAATTCTTGGATAAATTCATTTAAAAAAATAACAAGGAAAAAATAAAACAATAAACCCCCCCATTTATCCCTGCTTATTGGCATGTTATTTGTTTTAAAATTAAAATAAAACATCTTATTTGATAAGCCACCAGCTCCGGCGTCTACGAAAGACTTGGGTCGATGGAAACCTCAAGATGATTTAGCACTGATAACAGCAATCCAACAGGTATGTCAAACTTTCAACTGACCCAGATTCTTGGCTTCATGATAAATGTTTGAAATTTATCAAATTTCTACCATATGTACTAGCTTTGTCCATACACACAGGATGTATACACTAGCCTAGTGTCTGTGTATATGTGGTTTTAAACTTCAGAAAAGATGTACATTAAAATATCTTTTTTGTTTCTTCTTTGAAAATGCCACAAGTTTCATCAATTAATGCTTATTCTAAATAGCTGTTGCATAAACATAGATAGTATATGTTTAGATATTTATCCAAGTTAACATACAAGTTTCATTGATGTTCTATACTTTGATAAATATCAACAGATTTAACATATGCAATATAAACCCACCCCGGGGCAAATTGTCCTGTAATAAACCCACCCTGACTTTTAGTCAGTATCTGTATGTTAAATCTCTGGACATATTGTCCTGTAATAAACCCACCCTGACTTTTAGTCAGCATCTGTATGTTAAACCTCTGGTCTTATGATCCTGTAATAAACCCACCCAGACTTTTAGTCAGCATCTGTATGTTAAACCTCTGGTCTTATGATCCTGTAATAAACCCACCCTGACTTTTAGTCAGCATTTGTATGTAATAAACCCACCCTGACTTTTAGTCAGCATTTGTATGTTAAACCTCTGGGATTATTGACCTGTGATAAACCAACCCTGACTTTTATATATTTTGAACCCCTAGACTTACCACAGGATAAATGCTATTAACATATATTCATTATTGGAAGAGACGTTCTGTAAATATATTTTAAAAAAACGACTCACTCTTATAACATGACAGACCTCTTTTCTTGTCTTTGAAAGTATTTCAGTGAAACAACAAGCTTTTGAATTTTGTCAAACCCAAGAAAGAACAGCTAGCCTATGACTTTCAGTGGGTTTGAGGTGTGTTATTAAATAACAGAAGATGCACAATAGAAAACAAAGGAAAGCAAAAAAAAAAAAAAATTCTTTAACTGTGTTGTGTTTATTTCTTCAGAATCATATTTACTATAGCTGAATGAAGATCTCAAAAGATGTATTATGTAAATTGCAAATTAGAGTTTAGAAATTCCTCAGAAATAAACCTGAATGTCGTAATTTGATGGAAAACTCATGGATTAGTTTGGAAGTATTGATAGAGTTATATATGTATAGAGGAGCATTATTCTAACCTTATTTGTGTAATATTCTGAAGTCCTACACTATACCTCTAATACTTTGAGCCAGTATCATCAAAGACATCTTGGAAGGACAAACCGGTGGTATGATACAAGTAATTAATATTTGGTTCTACTGTATCTAATTCTAAATGTGGACTTATAGGTGCTGGACGTATTTATTCGAATTATTAGAAATATTCACAATTTGATGATTATCTACATAAGACATTTAAAATTGTGATAATTGATGTCATGAAGTTGGTATATTACAAATGGGATACTTGTTCTGAAATGTGCACTTTAAAAAATTCCAAAAATATTAGTTCATAATTAGAAATAATAATTTGAAATTAAAGAAAGAGAGAGAATCCAGTTGAATTTATTTTCATCCCAATTCTGTTTTAAAGTACTGTCTTTTCAAGTCACCTGACCAAATCCAATGCCTGAAACAGGGAGTACAGGTGATTCTGTTCAGGTGAAGTTTACTACGGAGAAGCCCTACAGGTTGAAATTTAAAATAACAATTAGTAATTATTGGAGACTATGAGTTATCTTTTGTTGGTTTGCACAGGTAAATTTATGTCAGGTAGCTTGCTACCTGGTCCTGATGACAATCATACAGGTAGCCTTTTGTTCTTACTACTGACCCAGACTTCCAGTCTCTTTGGTAATTACAGGTGTACCATATGTAAATAACACAGGTATATTGCACAGGTAAGACAGTCAGTTGTGATTGACAAGGTGTGAAATTTTCACATCATCTCTGATAAGTGTATCATTTTGGAAAAGCTGTTTGGAGAGAGAAGATGCAGACTATGATGTTTATCGCGAGCATACTGAGGAAAAGGGTGTAGAAGGTGAGTGATTGAATCAAGCCTTATACTTTTGTCATACCTGTCCCCTAACAAAATTCATTCATAATATCAAACAAAAATATTTTAAAAAGTTGGTTTAAATGTTATTACAGGTGTTTGAGGGTTGATATTGATATAGTCTTGCATTGTTTTAACTTTATACTTCTGTAATATTCAAATTGATACCATTTTAACTTTTTCATTATTGAAATTTATTTCTCTGAGAATTTTTGTTTGTATATAACCCCCATTTTTTAACAAAAAAGTTAGTAAAAGGTTAATAAAGATAAATTTTTATCATATAGGTTGTATTTCATATTTGAAATGTAAACGATATTAAAAAAAATATGATAAAAAATAATTGTTGGTGACCAGTATGATCATAGTGCTATGTTCTCTCCTGTATTGCCATTTTAAGCAAGTTTAGGATCATTTGTTCACTTGAAAATTCTTTTTATCACCCTTGTTGTACATGTCCTAAACTTTTTCTGGGTAATGATAATCTAGTCATATTTTAGAAAGTGCATGTGTGTCCTGTATAGATGTGTGTAACCTTGATTCCTGTAGATATTGTTTTTGAAATCACGAAGTTAAATGACAAGGTCAAAATAATGGTATGTGATGTGGTGCAATTAAGTAAAAAGTTAAAACAAGGAAAAGACCTGTCTCGCATAACATTGTTTGTTTGTTTATTTTAAAGATAATTTGTTGAAAGGTGATTTGATTAAACTACAGTTATGAATAATATAAATATCAAAGGAGGTATTTGCTGTACTAATTAAGTCATATTTCTTTATCAATATTAATTTAATTTTGTTTTTACAAAATAATTTATACAATTCAGGGATATATATATGATGTACATGATTTCATGTCCATGTATAATTACAGCAGGAACTTAAATGATAAAATTGTACAGATGCAAGAAATTAATAGTGACGATTTATTAAAGTTCATTAATAAAATCTGAAGTCTTCTAGAAAAGAAATGAAAATTTAAGCAAATGATAATAAAAAACAGAAATCCCTTTTCTTTATTCTAGTTTTAATTATAATTTCTAAGCTGACATATATATGTCATTGTTAAGGCCTTAGATATAATGGAAACTTTACTAAGCAAAGAAATTGTATTGTTAGTTTTTATTCTATTATCATTTTTAAATCAATATGGTGTAGAACGAAGATTTTATTGGCCTGCCTTAAACTGTTCATAAATTGTACATATATATATATGATGAGAAGGGAAATTATTCTCAAACCATATGCTAAGGCTCACAGCATCTCATTCCCAAGAAATTCCCTCCTCAATTCATTCTTTTATTTTCCTTCAAATAGCTCCCTCTCCCATACCATTCAAATTTCCCTTTTCAGTCAAGTTTCCTTGTCCAAATCTGCACATCCATTCAGCATTTCTGTTCAAATTAAGATTTCCCCTTTTGTCTTCCAAGATTTTCTCTTCCATCTTTTTTTTTCAATTCCAGAATTCTCTTCCCATGAGGATTCTCCATTAAAGTTTTAATAACTTTCTCCAGCCCTCCGCCCAGTTTTTTCTGCCATTGGCTTTCCTCTTCCAAGGTTACCCAGTTACCATTTCCCAGAATTTCCTTGTCCAGGTCCCCCTCCTGTAAGCTTTTCCCTAGTACGGTCTCTATCTAATAAGCTTTCTTCTTCGACATTGCCCTCCAATAAGCTTTACTTCCAAAGTCTCTTATCATAAAATCTGTTCCAAGGTCTCTCACCCCCCATAATACCTCACTCCCCATTAGCTCCCCTCTACTCATTTATTCCCCCTCTCATAAGTTCTCCCATTCTGCTGTGCACTCTCTTTTCAAGGAGGTATACCTCCCATATGCTATTCCTTTCTAAGGTCCTAAAAGCCCTTTCCCAAGGTTCCTCAGCCTAAAGACTCTTTAAAGACTGCTCTCCAATATTCTCTCTCCATCCCTGGATTCCTTTTCAAATTAACTCTTCAAATGTTTGAACCAAAATCAGATTTCACCTCCCAAATTTCCTCCTTTCTACATTGATAAGTCCTCTTCCAAGGCTCCTCACTCCCAGAAACTTTCCTAAGTTTCCATTTCCATAAATTCTTCTTATTTGGTTCATTTTAGATAAGCTTTTCCCTCCTAATGTTCTTGTTTCCCATAAGCTTTCCTCTTCCAAGTCCCTTTCCCATAATTGTCCATTTGAAAACTCACCTTTCCTTAGTTCATCATTCCATTTTCATTAAGCCCTCTCCCATAAGCTTTCATCCTCCAATAAGCTCTCCCACTCCAAGATCACTTAAACATAATCTCTCCAATTCAAAGATCACCATTCCATAAGCACACTTTTATGGCCCCTCACATAAGCCCTCCCCTTTCAATATTATCCTCACATAAGCTCTGTGATTCCAAGATCACCCTTCCCTGGCCCCTCCCATCGGCACTGCCTTCCATAAGATCTTTCTTTCCATGATTACCCCCCCCTCCCCCGCCATAAGCTTTCTCCATCCATCGTTCCCCTCCTATAAGCTCCCCATGAAATAATCCCTCACTAGCAATAGCATCCCCTCAAATAAGCTGTTTTCTTCCATATTTCCCTCCCATTAATTAGCTTATCCTCCAATAAACCCTCACTTCCCTTTAGGTACCCCCTTCAATTAGCTGTCCGCTTCCGATTACCCCTCTCAACTGCCCTTCCCATTTACTCCCAATCCCATTAAGCCTTCTTCCCATAACACCCCCTCCCCATCTAGGGCTCCCTGCTGTCATAGATTCCCCAATAAACTCCTGCTGGCTGCCACTCAGCTGTTGTCAGGGCTTATCTCCCTTGCCTTGGATCCTTGAACGTCTTTACATTTTTGAGCATAACGCATTGACATACTGAAATTTCGGAATATTTAATAATAAACTTTCCACTTCGCCATACTATGCTTTGAAAAGGATTATAAAAAAGTTCTTCCCGTAACTCGCATCGCTGGTATTTCTTCACGAATACCCAACT